TTCTCCTCTTCAGAGGAGACTCATCTCTCACCTCGTTGAGGGGAGATACATCCAATGCCTCAGACTCGCCTCTTGGGCGCTTCTCCTTGGAGTGCTCCTCAACCGAGTCCAGCTCGATCACCGGAGTTGGATTTTCTGAGGTTGGGGCTGGATCTTCTGAGGCCGGCCCTGCCACAGCAGGAGTTACAGGCTCCGAGCTATTGACAGCCTTGAGAGCATGAGCGCGACCTTTAGACTTGCGCCTCACGCTACTTGTAAATCCGCACACCATGGCTGCAAAATAAGAAACAAAAGGTCAGAGATCATAAGCAAAAGTTAGACAAAATAAAAGGAGGTCAAGCACGGCTTACCTAGTTCGGAGTTCGACCTTGACACTTCGATGGGACGAACTAAGGGGTTGTAGTCTAACAACCCAGATTCGAGCAGCAGCTTGTCGGTCACCAAGGTTCCGACCTTCCTGCCCTTTGGAAAGTGCTCCTTGTAGTACTTCAGCGTATCAAAGGAAGTTTGAGTGAGTTTGGGAACCGGCCTAATCAACACTGCACAAAACAAAATCCGAGTCAAATCTAAGTAACAAAAGAGTAAGAAAAACTTAGAACTATAAAAAAGAAAGGGGGCAAGAACTACTCCGTACCTAAGTTCCCAAACCTAGTGGAAACATCAAAGAAGGTATGACCAGTCTCATCCTTTGCCAGCCATTCCCCAGAGGCAAAAAACCACTTCTTCACCCATCCCTTGATGGAGGTCGGCCCCTTCACTATACCTCCTGCGCCCTTCCTTGCGCACATATAGTACCAACCAGGCTTCTTGGCTATCCTCTTCGCTTCGAAGCATGCGAGGAGCTGCCCAACATCCAATAGCTCAGCCACTTCGTTGTCCCGAGCTCGTAACCAAAAAAGGATGGCCAAGGCAAAAATGAAACCCCATCCATTGGGGGCCACTTGAGCCGGAGCCAACCCAGTTCGGTTCAAGAACTCTTGAATGAAAGGATGCAGAGGAAGTCTGAGGCCGTACTCAAACATTTTGAGATAAAGAGTGACCCATCCCTCTGGAGGATTGTCAGCTTTTTCCCCCTCCTCCGGAATCCTAAGGAGGATGTTATCTGGGATAGCGAACCCTCTAACAAGATGTCTGAGGTAATGCTCGGGTATCCTAGAAGGGTATTCCAAACCCTGACCCGAGGTGGAAGCATCGCTGTCCTCCCCGTCATCGGAAAACCTAAAGTTTTCTATCTCTTCGAGCTCGGACTCTAACCTACGAGCTAAACTCTCATCAGATCCTAAGCTATCACTGCTAAAGGAGGAAGACATGGGGACTACACTTGAAAAAGAAAGTGAAAAAGGGGAAGAGACTGACCTACCGAGGGTTTGAGCTGCTTTCAGATCGAACTCCGAAAATTCAGGAAACGTAAGGTATGACCTGAAGTCTCGGGACTATTTATAGCTCGTCAGAAAAATCTCTGCACCGTACACGTGTAATCAACGAGCGGTTAGGATCATCTCGAGATCCGTAACGACGGAATACTTGAATGCTCCGATGATCTGGCAGATCGAAACATCTTCTGCAACGGTCATATTCTCTCTACAAATTAAAAGTCGCCACGTATCCAAAAGTCAAAAGAATGAACTTCTCTGCCAGGTCGAGATCGAACCCGACAGAGAGGGGGCCAATGTTTGGGTGTAAAAATACCCTGGACACGTGGAGGACAGCCATTGGCGCTTAAAATAAAATTGGAGGACCAAGTCCACCTCGAACCGACGAGAAGACCGGTCACAACCATTGAAAAGGCTAAGTGTAAAAGCCGAGGTACGACCTGCTCGGGGTCCGATCTACCGTGAAACTCGACAGGTCCGATGTAAGAAAAGACAAGTAACCGCCGGTCGTGTGTACTGTCGGATCCACCACCTATAAATAGAGGGCTTCATTTCACGCTCAGGTATCGAATCTCACCTCGAACTAAATAGGGAATCCGACCTATACTGAATTGAGCGTCAGAGTGTTTACTCTCTTGTGCATGTCCACTCTTGTGTTCAGGTCGGACCGGAGACCGGGTTTGAGCTAAGTTCGTACAATACTGTTGTGCAGATCTTTGCATAAACAAAGAGAAAGAAGAAAACTCATAGATTTCTATTGATCAAAAAAAATTTCTTACAAGACGACTCCATTCTCCCACAAAGGCATGTCTCTCACATTCACTCTTGATCCTGTCTCCTTCAATTATTCAAGTGTTTGGCTTTTCATAATCACTAAAGCTATTGATTCTTACTCCTAAGTGACATTTTCTTTGTGGGTCGGTTTCCCCTGGACAACAACATTTCAACTCAAACTCTAATCTCCAAGTCTATATCTCCCCTAAATCGATGTCATTTCGAATGAAACTAAATCATTTGATTGATTTATCTTTAGCTCACTGTGTGTGACACGTGCTAATGTGTAACCTCTATTTTTCACCCTGTCACATTTATGTCTTCATTTTAATGGGAGAGCTAATGACAAGAGTTTTTTTTTTCAATAATTAAAAACTAAAAAGAAACTTTTAAATGATAGATGCATGATTATATTGAAAATATATTTACCACTCAATCAAATTTATTTATTATAAATTGCTTTTAGATGATAAAGGTATAATTGATGATGTAGAGTTATGCTCTTCGTATATAAACATTAATTGCCCTGATATGTAGAAAGATGTCAAATAGAAGCAAATAGTTAGATAACATTTGCAACATGTCCCTTTTTGGAACCATTTACGAAATCTCTTTTATTGAACGGTAGTCTATTACATCTTAAATGTGCACCTTTTTATATTACTTACCTTGTCACATTGCACAAAGTTAGTCTATTATGTTTGTCCCTGACATGTCATGTTATCATTTAATTAACACCACTAATGGTAGGAGTATATGAAATTACAATTAAAACTAAGTAATGTAAGTATAATTTTTTTTTAATTTTAATGAATAAATAGATATTCTATAGAAGTGGGAGGACGAAATATTTGATTTAACCAAAATATAAATTATCATTCAGATTTGTGCATTGCACTGTTTTAAAAGAATATACTTTTTTTTAGGAGATAATGTTAGGGTTGTTTTAGAAACTTATTTACGCAAATGTTTAAAATTTTCTAATTTTACACTTTTAGATTTTTGCACGTAGGATTTTATTTTAATTTCGATTTTACCCTTATTTATTGCATTTACATTTATTATAATTATTTGTTTTTTTAAATATAAAAGATTTAATTCCATAAATTATTATCATAATCATTTAATTATTGTGGACCTCATACTAATTTTCAACATAAATTCCTTAATTCACTGCTTCAAAACCTTAATTTACTCCTTCAAAAATATTGATTTTCCTTTAATCATTCCCCCACACTCGTGCTCAATCTTCAAGACAATTCAAAATCACATAAACATCTTTGAAGTCTCAATAAACATATATCTGCATATTCAAAATCACAGTATATATCCATTTATATATCCGCATATATACATTAAAAATCACTATAGTATAGATCCACATATCCGCATATATACAAGTTGAGTATATCCGCATATATGCATTCAAAATCATTATAGTATATATTCGCATATTCGCATATATACAAGTTGAGTTATAAGATATATCATAATCAAATCACTATAATATATATCTTCATATATACAATATTTCACACGAAATCAAAAATTGAAAACAACGGTTGGAATGCAAACCTTTCAATTGGGAGATGAACTGCTCTGGCGACTGAGAAAAATGGAGGTGGTCGGAGACGAAGGCAGGTAGAAACGACTGGAGAAGAACCGACGAAAATCTCCCGAAGGGGATAAACGCACGAAATGGTCTTGCAACAAAGAAAAATGAAGTCGGCCAGAAAGGAAGGTAGACAGCGACGGACGGTCGGAGAAGAAGAACGGAGGGTCGAAGGAAGAAAAATGGACCGTCGGAGGAAGAAAAGAAAAACGGACAGTTGGAGGAAGAAGAAAGAGGTGCGTTTCGAAAATGAATGGTTTTTTTTTATTGTTTTGGGATTTTTTTATTTTTGAAAGTATCATTAGCACATTTTAAGAGATGGATCCTTAAAAGGATATACTATAGGATGGATAACATCTAATTTTTACGTAATTATGATCTCTAAATAGACCATCTATACTAATCCCCTTTTCAGTGAATAAAGTGTATACATTCGTTAAATGTTGAACCTTCTAGTACTGGGTTAGCACTGAGGTGTTCAAAAAACTCCCCAACTCAAACAACTCACAACTCGGACAACCCAACTTAAACTAGGTTAGAAATGTTTTCGATTTTTTTAAAATTGAAAATTTGGTTCAACTCACGATTTGAGAAATCTTTTATTTGGTTCGATCCGAATGGAACCAAATCTTTTAGGGTTTCTTTTTTCATCTTTTTTGGGTTTCTTTTTTCATCTTTTTTCTCTACAGTCGCCAACCCTCTCCCTCTGCTCGATCATCTCCCTCCCCGCCCCTCCCTCTGATTGTCTCTCTTGTCTCAACCTAACGACTCAACCCAACCACCATTCGAAAATATAAGAATGAGTTGATTTAAGCTGCAAACTTCATTTGAGTTTATTGGGTAGTAGAACTGACAAACTCGAAAATTTATGTTGGTCGAATAAATCCTCTAACTCAGGTACACCCCTACTTTCAACACTAATTGTACACTAAAAAGAGACGACTTCCACGAAGTTTAAAGTTGCCTGGGCAAAGAAACAGCAAACTCATTCTCTTCTCTCTCTCTCTCTTTTTTTTTTTCCTGTTCAACAACATAACTCATTCTCCTCTCAGACGATGAAAAATATATAAATGCAATATCTGTAGTGCCAAAAACTCCACAAATCTCTTAGTCTGATATTTCTAATCACATAAATTTCTGAACACTGATTTGCAAAGAGGTGACACCCTGGCCATGTATTCATCATTACCACTCCCCCACTTTACACTCCCTTCTGCATATGCTCAAACTGTGTCTCTTCAGAACCAAAGTGCCATTAAATCAGAATAGATAAAGGCTATTGTTGGTTCCACAACATACTAAATATACACTTACAAACACTACATGTTACAATGTTAATTAAACAGTTTTCACTTTCACAACCCATCTTATTGGCAGGTTCTTTTGTTTATACTCCAAACTCAGTACAGCGAATCAAGGTAACCATAATTTCTGCATCTGTGGTACTCGAGAAGGCTACCATATGTTCGATCCCATACTCCGATGAAGAGAGATTCCGTGTCAGGACTGAACGATAATCCAGATATCTCTCCAAAAAAATCGATTTCTTGCTCCTTCTTGTACCCGCTTTTCACGTCAAACACGTGCACGAAGTCTGCTGGTTCTGCCATTGCCATGTACTGACCATCGGAGGAATAGCGGATGGACCGTATGGCTCCAAGGTTGCCTTTCAGAGCAGCAACTGACTTTGATAAATTTCTTACATCCCAAATCCTGCAAGTTTTGTCTTGGTTCCCAGTGGCAAAGGTGACGCCATCGGAATGCCATGCCGATGCAAATGAAAAATCCAAATGCCCACATAGTGATGCAACTGTCTGCAAAGATCATGTACTTAAAAAGTCAGCAGATGATTTACCAAAACAAACGATCCTGCCGACGCTATATCGAGTACCTTTCCAGTTTGCGAGTCCACCAATAAACCTTCAGGATTGTCACCAACAATCACAAGAAGTTTGCCATCTGGGTTTAAGGCAGCATGCTGAAATATTTATACAATAAAATAGCAATACCGACCCATTAGATTATCAATTATGAGCCTCAAGTTTATAATACTTTTGCACCAATACAAGCAAGCTAAAATGAACACCTCTAAAAACCCAGGTCAAGAATGGAACATGGCCAAGTTTCCTATACAAAATCAGAGTATAACTGCAAGTAAATTCTGAAGCATGCGCAAGCGAGCTGCGCATACTTAAAGGTACAGGCACAACAGCACAGGCACAAAGTAACTGAGATCTTGATGAGATATGACATGCAAGCGACCAAAAATTGTAACACAGAAAATTATCTTTCTACCCACTGAACTTTTCGCAACTTTCAGCAGCACCCGAAAAATAAACAATCTATGATTCAACCAGATTGTCAATAAGCTTTTAAACTATTTATTATAATATCATATACACGTGAGAAACTCGAGATAATTAATATAAAATGGGAAAAAACAAGGGTGCTCCATTTACTTGTTTATAAAACAGAAGAAATAGATTTCAGAGGACTCACATTAACTGGCCAAGGAAAACGGAAGTGCTTAGAAAGCTGAAATTTCTCCATATCAAAATCTCTGACTCCAGAATCATTATTAGAAGCAGTGAAATGAACTGCACCACTGACATTTTGGAATATGTTCAAATAATGTTCACAGAAGGGTATAAAAATACAAACAGTTGCTTAACCAAGAGAGAGTGAAAATATACCTAGAGCTGGTATATATCTCAACAGCATTAGTTATAGCATTATCATCATAAGTTGTTCTGGAACAAAAACTAACGCCTGAGCGGTCTAGATGCTGCAATATAGCAAGGTAAAAACAATAATAAAAACAATAAGCACACAACTAACTGAAATATCAACAAAATAGAATATCTTCGAGAGAGTTATAAAAATGGGCAGGCCTTATCAAAAAGCCAGAAGGAATAGCCTTTTCTAAAAACTCAGACAATTGGTTTTGGAATCTTAACAGCTCAGGTGCAACCACTTGTATAACTACATTAATCCACCTGAATTCTAATTCCTCCAAGCTGAAAATACAAGTTACAAGGATGATATGGAAAGAATGTCCCATAAGAAGTCAAGTTCTTATAAGCTGTAGCCAACAAAAGAATCAACACTCGATGTCCTTTCTTTTCCCTGCTTGTCTTAGGCCATCACTAGAAGGTTTAGATTAGTGTCCCATTTCCACTAGGAATAAGAATAAGGAAAGGTTGAGGCCATTTCTCTATCGAGGATATTCAGAAAGTGGTCTTAAGGCACCTGGCTGTAATAGCTTTACTTATTGCGTCTTTCGAGATGGTTGGGAGATCATTGAGCATTTTGGGTAATGTGAGTTCCTTCAGCAAGGGATTATTGATTATTCCTTAAATGAGACCTTCATCTACCTTATTCCTAGAAACGTGAACATGTGTAAAGGTCCTCCGATCCATAAGTCTTGTTACCCACCTGTGCAAGATCATTTCTAAACTGTCAGCGATAGACATAGGCAGGCCATCCCAAATATTATTTCACTGTCTCAAGATGCTTTGGTTGGAAAACAAATTCTTAAGTAGTTCTTATTGCTAATGAGGCAATTGAGGATTACTTGGCTCATAGCTGGAAGGGGTTATTTCAATGATAGATTTTGAGAGAGCTTATGACCATGTAGATTGAGATCTATTGAACAGAGTTCAGTTGAAGAAAGGGTTCAAGTTTAGTGGAGATCTTCAGACTCAACTTCCTTAAATCAATCAATCATGTTCTAGTCACTGGTAAACCCAAGGGTAGGATCCAAGTGTCTGGGAGTTTTTAATATAAGGTGATCATCCGATCTGTCGTTTTGAACTTGATGGCTGAAAGGGTTCAGAAACATCATTCCTCGTGGAAAATAACATTCTTCTCAAGGAAGGAAGGTTGCCTTTCATTCAATTCGTGTACAGTGATCCACCCTGTCTATTTCTTTTGTCAGTTTAAGATCTCCTCTTCTATTAGCTATAGGTTTGAAAGGATCATGAGGGGCTTCCGGTGGGTGGGAGTTGAGCAAGACAGGATTCTTATTGGGTTAGATGGGATGGGAGATTGTTCAAGACTAGTTGAGTCAGGTGGTTTGAGTATAGGTAATATTAGAGTTCGTAATGAGATCCTTCAGGCTAAGTGGTTATAATGTTTTTCTCTAGAGCCTAACACTTCATGACATAGAATCATTGTGAGCATATATATAAGTGATCTCGAGTTCTAGGATAAAGATATGGGTAGACTCATGATCCTTTTGTATCTTCAGATATTGATAGAAATGAAATAGTGTTGTTCTTGTCAAAAATCAAAATAGACGAATGACTTACCTTGCAAATAAGCTCTCCCTGAAATCCTCCAGCAACAAGTAGCTTATCTTTCACTGCAAGTGTACTGACTTGTGTCTGTGTAAATCCTTCCAATAAGCTCCCAGGGTGCTTCTGAATTATATCAGACTCATTAGTTTAAACTTTAGAGCAACACAAGTGAATATTTAAGAATATGGTGAGCTTAATGTAGTTAATACACCAACCTCTGTAGGTGCCACATGTCCCGAAACATTGAGAACTTCCAACTTGGTGCAACTTAATGATGACCAATGAATAACAGAAAAATGTGATAGAAGGTATGCATCATGCTTTGACGTAGCCCATACTAAGTTCCTCAACTATTACCAAAACAAAAAGTTTGATTCAGCAACAGGCATCATATTCAAATAAACACTACAAAGTATGGCATATAAATGAAGATTATGCCATGGCATAACTATAAGCTAATGCATTATCCCATGCTAAAACATCTTAGTAACACCGCAAACATTTTTTTACATAGCAAGTAAAATTTCAAACATTAATAACAATCTTGGTTGAAATGGCCATGCTGCCAAAGAAAAAAAAAACACTGTATTCCACTTCTACAAGATGGTTACACTGTTACAGAAAAATGTAGTTAATATACTTTACAATGGTGAAAACGGAATACTTGATTAATTAAACCTGAAAATGAAGAATAGTTGATTTCACAGATCTCGAATTTCGGCGAAATTCATAGTACGAACATCCTTTCTCAGTAACCTTGCAATCCTGTTCACATCACATAGGAAAATCCATAAATAAAACATTGGAGTGAATAATGGAAAATATAACTCACAACACGCCCCAAGGGTGTTGAGGAGGGATCATTTACCTTCTCTGACCCCTCTCCTGAATTAGGGATATTTTCATAGTTCTTGTATTGTTCAAGCCTGGTTTTCCTGTACTTTTCTCTCGTAATGCTAAGTCTCTCCCAAGGAATGCCTTGAATGTCTTTCCCTCTTCTCGCTTGAGCTGCAGTGGTGTCAACTATTCTACTATTCTGTATACAATGCCATTACAGAATTCATATATTCAATAAGCCCAAGATTAGGAGTTAGCACAAATTAGATAATCAGAGTAACTTAGAAATATATGAGACAGGTACTACATGTATGGAAAAATTTAGATCGTATAGAGATTAGTATGAGAAAATCTAAATCCAATAAGTCATCGATATATCACAAACCGAGTTGAATTCATCAGCATCAGAATCAGAGCCTTCCACTTCTCTTTCATGATACTCATCGTCCATATCATCATCAATGTCTTCCATTTCGTACTCGTCAGCCATGTAATCAGTATCGTCCCCTTGATAATGGGACATATTATACAATAATTTACACCCCTACCTACAAAAGTTCAACTAATTAATTCCACATCAATTCAAAATAAAATTTAAAAAAAAAATTGTCTTCTGTTCTCCATATAAATCACATAGCATTAGGAAGATAAGTTCATCATCTTCACTCATTACAATCAAAGATCTCTAGAGCTATCTCTGAATAATAAAAAAATAAAAAAATAAAAAATAAAAAATTGAAAAAAAGGCACAGTCAATATGTAAGAGAGCATCATGCATGTTTTACCATTCTGAATGTAAGTGTCCATCAAATGTATAATGAGATCATCCAACATGTGCCCTGTAAGGGCCACTCCTAGGGTGAAGGCCAATGGACAAAGTTGACGAGGGACTTTATTTGGAGCGGTGGAAATTCCAATCGAGGGAGTCACTTGGTAAGGTGGAGTTGGACTTCGCTCCCAACTCAACATGGGGGCTAGGGGTAGGTTATCTCAAGCAAAAGAACAGTGCCCTTCTTTTTAAAAATGGCTTTGGAGATTCATCTAAGAGGACAAAAGGCATTAGAGGAGAGTGATTGTGGCTATTTATGGTATCAAGCCCCATGGCTTGGCTTAATAAACCTAGTGGAGGTTCGGCTAGACCGCTAGAGTAGACCATGAGTGGACATTGACAACAACAATAATGGTTTTCTCAGTTTTGCGAAGTTTAAAGTAGAGAATGGCCAGCATATACTATTTTGGGAGGATGCTGATAGAACTCTGCTTCTATTATTTATGTATTAGAGGCATTACAGGGTTGAGGGAGATTTGAGGGCTCTCTGATCTCTCCTATCCAAACCTTCAATGAGGCAAAAACTATCAAAAAAGATACCCACCTCCCTACCAAAAAAGATACCCACCCCTCTACCACAGCAGAAAATATATAACTAACTCTCTTCACTGCCTAAACACCCCGTAACAAACTGGGGCCCCCAATACAAAATTCCCTCTTTACCCTACTTATCACTCCTAGCCTTTTTCCTACTGTACCTTTTAGTAATCAGGGGTCTATCATTACCCACCGCCCAAAAAGTCACCTTGTCCTCAAGGTGAAAGGTTGGAAACTGCCTTTTGATAGTCTCGGAGAACTCCCATGTAGCATCTTCAACGGTACCGCCTTCCCAATGAATCATCATGTCGAGTCCCGTAGGGGGTTCCAAACGAGTACGGATCCCCAACACTTCTACCGGTTGGTCACTACGCCGTCCTCCTGGGTGTTACGTGGCAATGGAATGATCGGAAAAGTAGTACCAACCGCCTTCCAGAGTTGGGACCATGGAACACCGGATGAATAGTCGCCCAATCCGGTAATGCCAACTTATAAGCAATGGGACCGATGCATTCCAGTATGCGGAAGGGCCCTACAAATCTTGTATCTAGCTTGACATTAGAATGGGAATGGAGGCTATGCTGTCTATAAGGCCTCAGTTTCAAATAAGTCCAGTCCCCCACTTGGAGCACGACATCACGACGCTTAGTATTCAATTGAGCACTCATGCGTTGTTGAGCAGCCAACAAGTGAACTTTCAATTGACATAACATAGTATCCCGCTGAAACTGGGGAAGAACTAGGCTCATACGACAAAACTGGCGATGGTGGACGACCATAGATAGCCTCAAAAGGGGTGGTCTTTGTAGTCATGTGAAAAGCAGTATTATAGCTAAATTCTGCCAAAGCAAGCCACTGTGCCCATTTGGTGGGTGTGGTCATGGTGAAACAACGTAGATACGTCTCGAGGCATTGATTGACCACCTCAGTTTGACCGTCGGTTTGTGGGTGATAGGCCGTACTCCGGCGAAGTTGTGTCCTTACACAACGGAATAACTCTTCCTAAAAAAGACTCGTAAAGATTTTATCTCGATCAGAAATGATGCTCCGAGGTATCCATGGAGACGCACAATCTCCTTTACAAAAATTTGGGCCATTGAAACTGCTGTGAAGGGGTGTTTCAAGGGAGCATTTTCTACACCATAAGGAATATAAAAGTAACAAAATACAAGAGTAACCGTTCTCGGAACTTAGGATACCCTTACAAGTAGAAATATAGCAAGAAGCCCAACTAATCCATACAACAATCGTCCTTACTCTCTACTATACACGAACACAGACCAAATCGATCATAAAAAATAAATTTCAACACCCTATATCATGGAGAACTGCATCATGAGAATGCAACCATATCACCACAATTTTCAGCACATAATATCATGAAAAAAAGAGAACACATCAAGGATGTCAGCACCTTTCGTAACAATTTTCCAGCACATATAAAAGAAAAAATACATCATTTAACCTCAAAACAACTTTCAGAACGAACGCAACCATCAATAACATCTACGAGCCCTCACACCATGGCCTACAATTTTGTTTACAAACATGAGATGCACAAATATAATAAAGTTGAACAAGCAACCATTAAAATAGCACCCATTAGCGCACCCACCCGTCCCTTAATACTACTTACACACTGCTATGCTTCCAAACCACGAGTTGATTCAACACCTAAGCATCAAGAGACAAAAACAGCAATTCAAACAGAAATTCCAGCCATCGAAATTGGTTTTAAGTGCTTTGAAGGGTTCGTTACCACCAAAATCGAATTCGTTCGGGTGTAGGTAACTTAGATCTAACTCGATGGGGCGTGGATTGCGTAGATCGGGTTGTTAACGGACGCGGGTAGTCGCCGAACACCAATAATAGCTGCTGTTTACGTTTTTTGCAGCAGGGAAAAACGTCAACTAGTACCAATATCGTTGTGCACGGTGGGAAAAACTCGTACCGAAGGTTTCAGGACCACCAAGGGACGTCGGGCCCGACTGTTCAGACGTCGAGCCGCCGAAAATCGCTCCTAAAACGCCGCAGTCCGCCGTACCTGCTGCTGTCACGAACGAAGACCATCGCGCCTGCTGCTGCCACAGGTTGGAGCCGTCGTGCCGTCGTTGGGGTGAGGTCGTCGGAGGTGGGCTTGCCAGAGAGGTCGCCGGTAGTGGTCGTGAGGCATAACAAGAGGTGAGATCCTTTTTTTTTCTTTTCTTAGGGGACAACACGTGAAGGTGGGGAGAGATGAGCTAGGTTTCTTTTTCTCTTATTTTTTTAATTCACTTGATTTTTTTAATTCACTTTATTTTCCTCGGATGTGTCCCAATCTTAAAAGCCCAATAAATACCCTAGGATAAACCCATGGGTTGGAGTAAACAATTTCCTAACTTCCTTAACTCAATGCTTAACAAAAAGTGAGCCTAAAGCACACCACAACTATTTGAGTTAAACAAAATCAGGTGACTTCATAATTATATAATTAAATAAATAAGTAAAGCAAGGTAAACTACTTTAATAAGAATTTAAATAAATTTGAGTTAAAATCTCAAGAGTCGAGATTAAATCCAACCTGAGTAACGTGGGGCATTACAGCAACGAACTTGGAAATTGGGTTAGAGAGAAATCTTGAGTAGGGAAAATTCAGGGGAGGTTTTTTCTTCTTCTGTTCTGTTTTATGCAGAACCATTCTGCAAAAACAAAGATGACATGTAGAGTTACCCCACTCATAACAAACCTCTCACTCCCCTGCAATTAAGCAGGGAGTGTTTAATATTAATATTAGTTAATATTAATCATTAATAATTAATAATTAATATATATATAATTAATTAATCTTATTAATTAATTATTAATCTAATTAACAATTAATTATATATATATATTAAATAAATAAATAATTAACACTTAATTATTTATTCCCAAAATATAATCACGTTCTAAAGCAATTCTCTCATATAATCTATTGTTGTAATGTATATATTAAGCACATTATTTTTAACTTATAGTTTTATTATTAATCCTCTTCATATTGAATTTTATTTGAATCTCATTCAAATAATTTGTCTCATAATATATAGTTTCAATTTAGAATTAACCATATATTATAATGTATAAATATATATATTATCCCTTGAGCATTTTGAACATCTCAAATTCTTCCAAGAAACTCGATCCTTATTTTACCCGTTGTGAGCTAGCAAGAGGACCTAATTGACCTACAGTTAAGAAGCTTCAACGATACGACATTAATCGGTCAAACCCATTAACCGAGTTAATCAACATTCAATAATTGTGGGTCACTCCACTAAAGACTTGCAGCTGCACTCTTCTCACTACAGTATATTTTTGTGTCCAGGATATATGACCATTACTGGCAAGTCAATCCTTCACGAGTGCTCATAACTCAACCTTGAGTTACATCTTACTCCTTAAATACCACTACTCCTCTAATGAACAACCCAGTTATGATCTGACCAATAAATGGAAGTCTCTCTCGTGCTAGTGAGAGAGTGGGGCCCCATTTTTCAAGTCTCGGAGTCAGCATTTAAGAGAACACTCATCTACTCCCCTAAAGTCGGAGAGGAGTGAATTACATCTTGTGAAGTTATATTCCCAACTCCCCACGCAGTCTCGTCCCAAAAATGGTAAGAATGTTGAGTCGGTGACTCGGGACACTATCACCCACACAGATCAAAGGACGAGCCATCGGGCAGGAGTCCATAATTCACTCAAGATTGAGAATGAGTTGTCTGGTCATCCTATGAAATAGCAATCTGTTAGTCAACGGCATTACATCTAAAGATTGACTATTTCACGGTTCGGTCTTATACAAACTCATTTTATAGGATACCCCCACTCATATGTCTTTACACGAACGACTTGGATCGGGTCTTCTGTAACATTTACAAAGCGCCATGGTCTTGCCAGGATAAGGTACCTAGCCTTATCCATTCATTATAGACCTTTTAGGTTATTCCCGTGAGATTATCCACTTGTATATCGATGGTATATCAAATATATACCCAGTATATATACTGTCTCGGTTACATGATAATAACCTTGGATGTTTAGTTTATTGGATTTGGACAATGCAATACTATGAATTCAACAACAAATTGATTATAACTTTATTGAATATAAACTTGTTTTTACATAATTGCAAACTATGAGTTTATGACAACATACCCAACAGATAGGTCATGCTTGAGTGCAAGCTTCCTGACCCCATCAGTGGCAAAGTCGAAGCCTCGGTTGCGATGTTCCTAACCATATCACTAAACTCTTGTAGGACCCTCATCGCCTTCTCCAGCTCGTCGAAGGACAACCACCTCTTCACCTGAGCCACATGTTTAGACTCCAGCATGTCCTCGACCTTGTTAGCGCACTTCTCGGCTTCCTTCGCCCGGTTCTCAGCACCTTGGACGTCCAACCTAGCTTGGATGAGGTGATTCTTTAGAKAAGAGTTATATTTCTCTAAATTTGAAAGTTTAATCTTCACCTTCGCCAACTCAGCAGTAAGGTCTTTGATGGTCTTGGTGCCTTACGCTCTCGCGAGAAGCTGACCTTCCTGGCAGTGCCCTAGTGTGGCAAGCAGTGAAGTGGAGCCGACGAGTTGGTCGATGAGGGCCTGCAGATAGTTTCTAGGCTTCTCCAGCACAAATTTATCGTCTCTTCTCAACATTCGTGTCATGCTTGTTGGGTGTGTTGCCCTAAACTCGTAGTTTATATTTATGTAAAAACAAATGTATATTCAATAAAGTTTTATTCAATAAATTTGTTGTTGAATTCATAGCATTGCATTGTCCAAAATCCAATAAACT